GTGGGGCTGTGTGCGCCGGTGGGCCCGGCCAGCCCACCGCCCGAGGGCGTGTGATGTGCTCTGCCCTAGCCCTCGGCGGGCAGCCCTCCTTCGGGGGCGCAAGCCGAGCCCCTGCCTGACTTCCACAGGGTGTCACTGAGGTAGCGCTGGACAAGCCTGTGCAACCCGTTACACGGGGCAGCCCCGTAGAGGCTGAGGTGTGAAGCGAACTTCGTGTGAGAGGCTGGTCCAGAAGTGTTGGTCCAGCGCTCCAGTGAGAGACTGGTCCCCGCAGCCGGTCTCCAGTGAGAGACTGGTCCAGCGTTCTTGGCCTGAGAACCGCAGTGGATGTTCTGAGGAGAAAGAGCTCCCTGAGAGACACTCGGCGTGTTGGGGGGAGAGAGGGCTGGAGGCACGGAGTTCCAGCACAGGGAATGGCAGCCTTGGCTGGGTTGGGCTGGGTGGAGGGTGGCTTCTGCAACCCTGCCGCTGCACTATTTATCGCTAGAGCCAGGCCTCTCGCTTGCCAAAGAGTTTCCACAGTAACACAGCCTACAACGATGGTTGCATAAAGCTCTGATGTAAGAAAAATCTCTCTTCCGTTGTTCAAGCCTGTTTTAACTACGCAGGTTGGCTACTAGTCTAATGACTTCAGCAAATCATGGCAGAATCAGACTCTCAGGTGATAAACTGTATAAGGAGGGGAAATTTTAACGTGGGGTAATGATGGATTTAATATGGAATGAACGGAGTGTCTCACTAGGTGCTGTAATTCATTCTCAAGATCCACACCAATGGCTACTTCTTAGTAGCCCGGACTGGAAGTCAATTATAGAATTTTATTTAGGTAAAGACTGTCTTTTTCTGAAATGGAATATGATAAATAAAAAGTTCATTTGATAGAAATACTCAGCTAACATATACTAAAGCTCGTGGAAAGAATACAGGAACGAGCCCTATGGTTTTTTGCTCCTTAAGGAATGCTTTTATCATGTACCAGCAAATTGCTTTTAAATCTTCACAGATAAATGGACTGTAAGAAAATTACGGATGAAGTTTCAGAAAAAATTTTATCATACAGTCAAGATACTTCAGGATGGAGAGTGATAAAAGTTTCAGTAAGAAAATATTAGTACATATTGTTTATAAAGTTATTTTTATTAAATATTTTGTTGCAAAAAGTGTTTAAAACTGTTTTCCTTTAAATACTAGTTGACAGCTCTTTATCAACTGCTCAGTTATCAACTGCTAAGTTTTTATTTTTCCTTTTTCTACTTTGAGAAAAATGTTACAGTTTCTTCAAAGCCTTCAAAAGAGTATGCAGGAAATATGTAAGTATTTACATTTTGTTTGTCATTGTAATGAATAACAACATCTTTTTGGAACAGCGACACCCAAGATTGAAATGGAGAAGTTAACCACCTTCTGCCCTTCATGGAAGTGTTTAGTTTTGTTAGCTGTAGAGAAGATTTTGCGCTGTGGTTACACTGGGTCAGCAATAGGGCTGGAATACAAGAGGTGGATTTCCCAAGTGCCATCAAATGTGCTATGAAAACTGAATACTATATAACACTTACTAATGTGGAATAAGTAGATATGGAGTTGCAGTATTGGCAAAACGTGAAATGAATGAATTGTGAAATGACTGATACTCACACATGCAGACGTGCTTACGGTCTCGCTCTACCTTATCTGTCCTTTGTACCTTTTTCTTTCTGGCACCTGAAACTGAATTAACTGTACTGAGAAGAAGAAGGTCATATAATCTCTGGAGCAGCCACTTCATCTGTCCTTCCTTCTCCTGAGCGATGAATTCCGCGCTGTTGTTAAGCAGCTCGATTTGGCCCACAGGGTGGAGTTAGGCGAGGCAGACGAAGCTGATTTCATAGCTTGCTGTCACTGATAGCGTTGGCCCTACTCTTTATGTTCCTCCTCTCCTGGCTCTGCCATCCTGCTTCTCATTTATGGTGGCGGTGACACTCAGTTGATTGTTTACCAAGCTGATTCAGCTTATTAAACCAGGGGAAAGAAAAAAAAAAATCTCACTGAAGAGAAGTGTGCAAAAGCAGGGGAAAAGAGGAGACTTGCAAGATGTCCTTAGCCTCTCTGTTTTGTTTGTTTTTTTTTTTTTTTAAATATATTATTAAAATGCCTAATAGGTATTAAATTATATTAAATAACAATCTAGACAGGTAGGCAGGAGAGACAATTTGCATCTGGTTCTTTTTTGTTCTCAATATGATGAGGTGTTTGTGATTAGTGGTATTCTAAATCCAAAAGTCTTGCTTTGTTTTCTAATTATGTCTGAAGAAGGTAGTAATTACAGAAGACAATGCTATATCACTAATGTTACAGAAGAATTACTCTACAGTATTCTAATGGAAAGTAGCTGTAATATTTCATTAGAATATGTGAAAAGTACTGTTATCTTCATAAGAATTTGCATACTTTGTATGTGGCATTATTATTGTAATTCAGATCTTATTTCAGTACAGGTGGATGTGAAGGAGTGAGAGTCTGGTTGCTTAGAATTCATAAGAATGCGCCTGATTTATTTCTGTGAAGGAAAAAAGATAGGCTATAGTCTCAATCGAGCGCGAAGCCATTTTCAGTTGTACTCAGATCTGTACGTAGCGAGGCCTTTGCAGCTAGGAGAAGCGTCGTTGTGCTTTCTGCCATTTGGTACGGGGAGCCAGAATCTTTAATTCATTTATTTTTGTACAAATCTTTGTCACATTGACAAGCAGGACTGGTCCGTGGTGTGTCTTTTGTGAAGGAATACTAGCTGTTCCTAGGAGCAAAAGTATAGCTGTTCGCATTTTCAGTTTGACACTGAATATTTATTAACTGCATATCACAAATGCCAGATTCTCTTTTAATTGGCAGGAGTATTAACAGTTTACTTTACTCGCTAAAAGAAATCAGTGTGGGATCTGGTAGTGAAAAGCAATAGAGGTCCTTGCTTCCGTCAGGTGAAATATTTTCAGCAGAGTTCAGGGCAGCATTAAGGTGATTGTTCAAGGGTGCATAGGATTTTGTTTGGAATTATGTCACCTAAGCTCACGAAAGACAATGAGGTATGTCTTTCAGTTTGTCTAAGCTAGTGAGACTGGATTTGGTGATCCAAGCGGTCTTTACCAGGCTTACTTCCTCTTTTTTCCAGTGTTCTCAATAATCCACTGTAAAAACTGGGAACGGAGCTTTTTCACAAGCGTGCCCTTTCTTTTATCCTAGCAGCTGTGTCTTTCAGAAGCCTGGCCTAGAAGAAGTCCTCCTGATTAACAGCTCACACTGAGTTTAGGAGAGAAGATATTACAGGATGCAGGCGAGAGCTGCTTAGGAGATTGGTAAACATAAATTCATGGGAGTTACGGCAATAAAGGGTGTATCCAAATATTAATATGCCGGTTTTAACTGGTCCTGCCACAGCTTACGTTGGCTGTTTTTGAGGAGGCATTAAAATGTTTTCCATCACCATCGGACCTGCTGTAGTTAGTGGCGAAGCGAGTTTCTGGAGTAGTCAGATACGCCCACGCTGCGCTCACTCCACCAAGGCAGTAAGTGGTGACAGGAGTTGTTGCGGACTGAAGAAACAGACCCGTGATCTTACAGGGCCTCTGTGCTTGGGTTTGAGCTTGGCTATCTTCTCTCTTTCTGACTTAACGCTCGTGCATCAGCAGGGGCTGTAAATCTGATTTCATGTTTCTTGAACTGTTTGCAAGCATAGTCTCCGTCGAGCTCATCTCTTGTCACGCAGCATCCTTCACCTTTGCATTTAATTGCTGTCAGTGAGCCCTTATCGTCGTGATTCACAGTTTCTCCAGGAACTAGGTGCGAGAACTGTCAGCATCAGCGAGCAGTTCCCAGCATTACAGGAGTTTCCTGTTTCCTTGTGAGGGGCCCCTCTTCCCTTCTGTGAACTTTCCCTTGAACTCCTCAGAAGATTATGAACCAAAGCTGGAGAAGTGCCAGAACGTACTAGTTCATAAATAGTGAGGAGATTTGCAATCAGTGTCAAAACGGATTGAAAGTATCTGTAGAGGAAAAATAAATAGATTAATTGGATATATTTAAATGAGCAGGTTCCTATCTAATAGCTCACAAATAACTCATTTAAAATGTATGGTGTCAAGAATGTAATGGTCTCAAAAATCAGTTACGGAATAAGAATTCTTATTACTACTTGAATTTTAATCAATCCGTCAAGTGCAATCACATTCGTGCGCTTTACCTCATTACAGCCTGGCATCCCCAACTGCTAGATGCTTATCATTGTATAACTTATTTTTCCAATTCATAAATGTGAATTCAACATCTGTTTTTTTATACAATCTAGATACCGTGGAGAAGGGATAATTGAGGAAGTCCCTAGTAAAATTATTCCTTTTATGTATCTTCCTGAATATCGAAGCAAATGGGACAAAGCGTTACAGTCTTACAAGCTGTTAGAAAGGATTGACCAGGTAATACGATAATTTAATGCGAAGATTTTATTTTAACTGTTTCTGTATGAAGTATGGTGACTAAAAAGACCTCTACTGGGAGGAAGAAAGCTCTTTCTGGGACGGTAATAACTTCTAAACCTGCTGCTTATGTGAAATGGGTATGAAATGTGTCCCTCCCCTTAGGAGTTAAGTATTTATTGCGAAATAAATGTCCTCAAGCATGCCAAGAATTCGGTCCATGGGAAACAACAGAAGTCTCCAACAGGAGCAGGGTGAGATGGAGACCCTGCAATCCCACAAGATGTAGGGAACGCTCCCCTCTCACAGTGAGCATGGTTTACACAACTTAAAAAAAAAATCACCGAAGTCAAGGGCAGCATGGAAACGGAACTGATGCTGTACTAACGCTGCGAAACACTGGATGTTCTGAATTCCGGTTGCTTGGGGCTGTCTCAGGCGCTCTGGAAACCCAGAACTCGGAATTCCCATGAAGAATATCAGTTCTGTGTTAGCTGGCTTTGATCTAACCACTTGAGAGAGGCCTCAGAACACATTACGCATGTATGAATGACTCGAGTGTATAAAAAGTATTCCCTAAACCAGAAAAAAAAAAAAAATCCTCCCCTTTTTGTGTTCCCTGAACCTCTCCCTTTCCTCTGCCTGGATCTGCTAGAGTTGGTCAGATGTTAGGATGTGGTGGTATATCCAACCATACCTTCTTTGCCTTTTTTGGAAACGATTTGGTTGAAGAGATGATACAGCTTTGTCCTAGAACACAATGTGCGATCTAGCGCGTGTGTTTTAATGCAAAGGGGCAAAGGTGGAAGATCCCTTTCATGGCGCTCGTGTTAGTTCAGCCCTAACGAGATATGAGGACTCTCACCTTAAAAACGGGAATCCAGTTTTGCCACATTCTCATTATTCAACACGTAATGCTGCTTTGCCAATTAAATAAAACTTAGCTTCTTCCATATTAATTCAAAAAATTACTTTTACTTACTTGTAGGACACGGGTATATACCACAGTGTAACGCACAGTTATGGCATGGGCCTGATTTCGTCAAGAGATTTTGTTGACCTGCTGCATGTTAAACCATATCCTGGTGATATCCTTACAACTAACTGTAAGTTGCGTGTAACTACTGCATGTTTTCCTATTTTGGCTGCATTCTGGAAATCCTAAAGTGAATGGCTGAGGAATAGGTTCCGCAGCCTCATCGCAGTACGGAGTACCTTGCTCCGTGTGCCGTCTTACTGATGTTAACAGTCCCTGCCTGCTTATCCCCAAAACAAAGCTGGTTTTTAATACTGAAACTATCAAAATTGATCTTCGAGGAAAATACGGTGTTCTTTGTTTAGTCTCCTATTATGCCTCTATTGGAAAAATTGAAAACAATGCAGCAGTATGAGGAAGCTAGAATTTATTATTTCACTATATACATTCAGTGTTTATTTAATAACACTTTTCTGTGCTCACATGGCTTCCTGGCTGAATGCTGCTTGCCCAATACGCTGTTCTCTGAGCGAACCTGCTCATTTGCTCCGCATTTGATTCTCTTCGAGTTTGGCTCTGTACGCTTACACAAAACGTACAACGATGAATACTACGACTATATGGCCAGCCAGGAAAATACCTCACTGCTGCTTCATTTCTGCGCTGATCTTTTGCCTTTGTCTGCATCTTAGCACGTGGCAGAAAACATGATTTTTCATCTTGGGACTTTACTGACCTATCCGTTTTTTTTTCAAGCCATACTCTTACAATACTTTTATTATGCAAAAGTAATGGATAACTAAAGAAAACAACCCCTCCTAACTACTGCTGTGTGTGCGCGCAGCAGTTTCCTCATCTTCTCTGCGATTGCATTTACTAATTAATGACATCTGCTGACAAACTGACTTCTTTGTCCAGAACTAAGCCACACCTCAGCGCTTAGGTGCGTGTAATCACGTCTGAAGGATAATGCTTTGGGGTACACCTGCCCAAACATCTATAGAAACTTCTCTCTGTATTGAATGGCTTGCACAAATATTTAATGTCCTTTAGGTGTTCTGCGGACAGAACGGAATTGCTAAACACGCCAGTGACCATATTGCGAGATCTTGTGCTATCCTATAGTAGTCAGAGTGGTCTGTTTTTCAAAGGTAGTTTTGAGTCATACGATTGACGTATCTAAACATCGTTCCATTTTGCTTTTTGTGTGGGGTGACTTCCAGCTGTCAGCGTGGAATACTCCGGCTGCCCTCCAACTCCCTCTTGTGTCCGAGGCTATAATAATCCCTGCGGATACGTGTGCTCGCCTTTGCCCGAGTGAGTATTTTCAAGCCCCCTTCTCTCAGCAGCTCTGGTTACTCAGTTGTCCTCTTTCACAGCAAGAGGGACGAGTGGTAACCGAAGGATTTTGCTCCTTCCACCCCAGGAATCCGGCGCATTCCAAGCTCGTTGTGTTCATTCAGCCAGAACTAGGAGGAATGCTCCCCTGTTCTGTGGTGGAGACGGCATTACCTACTACTCTCGTAAACTTAATCACCGACACGAGAGCTGGACTGAAAAGCTTGAAAGACCGTAATTAAACGTAAGTGGAAAATAATAAGCGCTTAAGTCACGTGCATCTTTTACTTGGATACATTTTTAAAGTAGATGATGAAGTTTCTTTTAATTGTGGTTTATGTGGAAATGCGCAAAGCTTAACTGTTAAAATGGTGAATGCTGGTTTTCTCTGTTCTTGGGGACGATGCAAGAATTGACACTGAAGTGCCCTCGAAGTACAGGATGTCGCTTTCAATGTAATCAGGTGATGTTTTGTACTATTTTTGCACTTTGTATGCAGAGAATATATATATATATATACACACACATGAGAATCTGGTGATATAAATTATAGCAATGTTAAAATACAGTAGTCAAATATTTTGCCATAAAATATTTTGCTTTAAACACTTTGATAAATTCTTACCTCAATTATGTGCTCTTGACTGAAACAAGCAAACATCTTGTGTACTAGAGACTTTAAACATGTTTATTAACTCCAAGTGTGCAAGTGTAATTAGCAACTATTTTGCTGTTTTGGAATTAAATATCTGAAGAAAAGCCTGATGAATTTGTATATAGCATCTCATTAAAAGCTGCTCTTTATACACAGAGTTGTTTGTCATTTTCTGCATCCTGAGCACCAAACCTAAGCCATTTTTCTATGCCGACTGACTTCCAGGAGCAAGCTGGTGACATGATTCATTTGGAAGTCATGTTTCCCATTCCCCCTTCGGATTTCTAGTACCTCTAGTTACGAGTTAACTGCAGGAAATAGCGGTAGCCATGCGAATTTCCATTACAAATCGCAGAAACAGTGGTGCAAATTAAAGAACAGTGTGAAAATCATGGAATCGTAGAACCGTTAAGGTTGGAAAAGACCCTTAAGATCATCGAGTCCAACCGTTACCCTATCACTGCCGAGTCCATCGCTATACCATAGAATCATAGAATCGTTAAGGTTGGAAAACACCCTTAAATCGCTCCCATCTTCTCTGCTGAATCCCCTCTCAAGCTGTTAGAAACAATTAACTGCATACATAGTATAACTCAATGAAAATTAAAGTAAAAACTCCTTCCCCCAGTCAGCGTGTTAATGTATTAATAGTGAATACTAAAATATGTTTGCATACTGTAATATTTTTAGGACAACTAAAGATTCATCAGATAAATGTGAGTTTATAAGAAAGAAAAATAAGAGACTAATTAGTACTTAAACAGAGTCACCAGCAGGTTTTATGTCGAAAGTTGTCAAAATATATTTTTAATATTCACATCTTTACAGTAAGCTTTTCACAACTAAAGTGCCTTCAAGTGCTGATCCTTACAGCATCGCTGTTACGAAAAATGTTTCACTGTGGTTTAAAGTATCTTAGCAAATTGTTAGACTGTGATAAACAGGGTGCTGTATTCCTTCTTCCTTTATTTGTTTTAGGCTTTTCAGGGGGTTTATCCGTAGAAGCCTTGGACACAGGTTCCCGACTCTTCCATTCAGCTAGTAGTTCTTCTTGCACATCTGCAGGCAGTTCATAAAAAGTCTTTGTGTCAACATGAGGAGGAAATACAATTCCTGCTTGCCTACTGTGAGTCTTAGCCTCAGGAGCTGTTTCAAAGGCCTGCTTATCTTTATCCGCTAGAACAATTTGGCTGGCTCCAGCTTCCAGGGATGACAGATCTCTCCCTCCGAAGTTCAGAGGGTCGGTAGCTTGGTTTTCCGTACCGCTGCTTGTCAGTGCGCTTCTGGGACGCTCGGAAGAACAACCGGCCCTGGAGCCGTGTGCCAGAGCGGCTGCAGATCCGTGAGCGGCCGGGAGATGCATACTGCGCCCTGCGGAGTGCCTGTCGCTGTTGAGGCCCTTAGAATCTGGGGAAGTGCTGTGTCCCTCTTCCGCAAAACATCCCGCTGGCTGACCCCGAACATTCTCAGTAGGGACTGCTTCTGGTTTTTCAGAAATAAGTTCTTTTTGAATATCTTCTGGAAGTTCCCTGAAGACTTCCTGGTCAATATCACCAGGAGACAAATGAAATGGGAAGTCAGGAATTCCTGCTTTTTTTATATGGCTTTTCTTTTCCTCTGAACGTCTCCTAGTTTTTGTAGTGCCGGTTCTCTTGCAGTTCTGGTTCCAAGAAGCACTTCCCTCATCTTGTGAAACCTCTTCCGCGTCCTGTGGCAAAAAACATATGGAAAAGCTGAAGTATGTTCTGTGTCATCTACTAGTTACCGAGCGCTGTTTTACTAACAGCAAGTTCTTCAAATTATTCCTTAACAGCCAGTAATTTTTTTTTCCCTTATGATCAGTAGTGGTTTCTTAAATCTTATTTTCAAACATAGACCTTAAAAAGTACATCCACGTAGGAATCCTTTTCTTATTTGAAAGTCGCAAATACCTTGAAGTTACATTTTATTGCTTTAAAACTCGGTGGAGCTTTAGAATACACGATACGATGTTATCCCTCATAGTCCTGAGCAGCTGAGAAACAGACAAGTTTATCAATACGCAAAATTGCTGCGTCAAGACAGAAACGGTAAATCCATCACACAACGTAATTTTGAAGTTACTAAGTCTCTGTGCTATGTATTAAAGGCATCTTTGGGAATACTTAGCAGCCTTTCCACAGACGGCTTCTACGCTGTCTAGCATATGCGATTGGGAGGTAGGAGATTTGTTCAGTTCCGAGCGGGAATTAGAAGCTAGCGCTAGATCAGAAGCTAGTGCTAGTGGCCAGTACGGAATTGAATCTTTGATTAATTTCTCATCTGAACAGGGAGACTCGAGAATGCCCAGGAAGGTAAATAATCACTGTGAAAGTATCTCTAATCACTGTGGAAGTATCTTAACAAAAGCAACAAGGTAAATTACAAGCAACTTTAAGGAGATTTTAGGCTAAGGTAAAAGATGCTTCAGTGTGACAACATCTGAGTAAGTGGCCTGTTGTTTCACAAATGCTAAACAAAGGGCAGATCTCGCTGGAATGAGCAGCCAAATTCTGTTTTTTACAAGATCTAAGTTTGGCTTTCTCCCTTAGTGAATTCTGTCCCCTTCAGTTAAGGGGCTTGCTGTCCCGTTCAAGACAGTACTAACCCTCTTTGAAGCAGTCTGCCTAATGAAAGCAAGCAAACAAGTTAACCCCTGCTCAGAAGACTCCAAAGAAATCTTCATTTTCACCAGGTGAATAAAACTTATGATCCGAAAAATTCCCAAGCAGTTCAGGTTTAAATCTATATAACAAAGACAGAAATACCTCAGAACTTTCTGATCTGCAGATAGTTTTCAGTATCTTTCAGCTTACCCGGACACGTTTCCCAGAGCCTGATGGTGGTGACATCTGCTTGAGATAGAAACCAATTGATCCTTTCTTGCTGCTAGGAAGATCTTTGAGGTTGGAGAAGCAGACGCTCAAAAGGGTAAGATGAAATGGTAGATCTACATCTATCATCTTTCGGAAGAGTTTCATTAGTATGTCAACCAATGGGGACAGAACGTTGCTGCTTTCTGAAAGAAAAAAGGGGGGGGGGAAAAGCGATGGATGTAATCAAGAGTGACTAAGATGGATTTAAATAGCAAAGTGCAAAGGCAAACTTCTAACTTCACATTCTCAACTTTCAACATTTTGCACGTACGCAGAAAATAAGAGATGGGTCATAATCTACGAAATTGAAAATACAGTGCTATTCTTAGCAATACGAGAATATTTGTAACTCCACCTGTATACACTAAGGAAACCTTTATTCATCCCAAAACATGAATTCCTGAAGTGTACAACTCTAAACGCTGCTAAAGGCTTCCAAAATAATCTGTCAATATTGTTGTTATTATTGTTGTTAATCTGCCCTGTCCTCCGGTAAAAATGCTGAATGTCTCACCTGTGAAGATTACTTTCGAGTATGTACTTAGGTTAGAAAAGAAGAATTACAGAATACAAGCTAAGGGGAATAGATACAAAAAATGATCTAATTCTACCAAAAATGGCCTTCCCAGGGCCATGCAGTACATAACGTTACCCCGACGCCGGTAAGAACAGCATGGTTTATTGGAGTTCGCGTGACTATGAGCTGACAGTAGTTGTTAGTCTCCTCCGATGTAGAAATCCAGTAGCAATTTTGAAGTGAGAAGCTACCCAGACTTTCAATAGCTTCTCCGGGACTGTGAGAAGGAATTTGGGAATCAAAGTCAGGGAACGGCGATGCTGGGTGCTGACACAGCAGTGATTCAGATTTATTTCCTCACCCCAATCGAAACGAGGTGTCAAATGAATTGCAATTGCGAGGGGGAAAGCTTAGGTCTGAGAAGGATGAGAGCCTTGACGTTACTAATTTTCAGAGGTACCTCAAAGAGACATTTTATTACATAATAAAACCGAGAACATAATTCAAATCCCTAACAGAGAAAAGCAGATGATGAATCTGGGAAGCAGCCCCCAGTCGCCCTTTCCCACCCTCCCCAGAGAAACGTACTGCCAGGAATCCAGCCAGACGGGGTTAAACGTGGGAGTAACATAGAAGTTATCCCGACAGTGAAGTTCTGTACGTTTTTAGGGTATCTCATCAAGATACATCCACTACAAGTAACGGAAAAGTTTCCAAATATTAAGCGTAGGGAATATTATCATGACATTAAGTAACGGAATTTTACAGAGAAGTTAGGTGGTAGCAGCACAGAGTCGATACTTTCAAAAATTCTAAGTTTACCTTTTCCAAATTTCTGAAGGAGATGAGGTGGAATAGGACACTGACGACTTTCCCGATTAAACCATTTATCGGTTGAGGAGAACTGGCGTATGGTCAGTCTCACGGTGTGCGGCTGCCGTCCATCTTTGTGTATCCTAGGAAACAGTACCGCGCGCAGAGCAGTAAGCGTTACTACGAGTGTTTTACAGAGGGTCTGTGGCAATGTCACAGCATCTAGGTTACCAAGTCACTGAAATTAAGCGTTACAGATCTCTCCCGGCTTCTGGCTTTACTCCACTGATTCTACAGGGAACTTTAGGTCCTAGCTGGTTCCCTTAATTACCCCGAAATTAAAAGTTCAATACAAGGTGAATA